ATTACCAAAAATAAAACAAAAGTTGACAATTCCACAAAGCCAAAACTCAATAAGAACGTTAAAGTGACCATCAATCCAATTAAAAGTAACTCATGCACTAACTAAGAATGAAAGCACTAGTCTATTGAAGCATCCTTATTCCACAAATTGATCAAATAGGGAATTGGACTATATTTGAACCATTTTGTACCTTTTTTGGGTAAGGAGAGAAGGTTGGCATTACATAATGTTCTACTACTCTCTTGCCCTCTAGATCTAGGCAACCAACTACGAAAATCAGGAGAATTCATTAGTTCATTTGCAAATTGAAGACATATTTTATCTCTAATTATGATTATAGGATTCTGCCTATATTTACATAACTATTACATTTATCATTATAGAAAGTAAACTATACTATCAAACTTCACCATGTCTGAATAACATATACAGTCACTGAGTGGCCATGTTGACATAATTTCATTTTAAAGTGTTGTGTTTGTTTAGTTTTTTAAAGTACTTTTTTTGCTTCTTTTATAAACAATTTGAAACCCAATAGCCCAAAAGGTTGAGTTTTTACTTGTTCTGAATCAGAATAGAAGTATGTTGAGCACATACTAATATTTTGGTTAAATATCTTATCAGGGTTTGGCAGTTAAGTATGTGTGTCAAGAGATAAGGTGTATTATGACATTTGGTAAATCCAAGAAACAGAATCAACTTCTCCACCTTTGGGAAAAAAACAAGTTCCTATTCAAGGCCACCACTGGTTCATGCCAGCATGGTTTAGGCTTCCCCATATTAAGGTTTTCGCTAATTCAGGCTGCCCCTGGTTTCGATAGCCACACATTTAATTTGCTCTTGCATGGAGTAACCCCCCACCCCCACCGGGTTTGACTGCCTTGGTTCGGCTGCTCTCAGTTCAGATTATTTATGTCCAGCTTTCCAAATTTCAGATCACGGTCCTGTTCAAGGCCACCATAGATGGGACTTTCAGGCCATTCGGCTTCTGGTCACCCTAGTTCAAACTTCCCCTCATTTTGGGTGCTAGCTTTCTGAAACTTACGTAGCATGCAGTAATAAACAAATATATTTGAAGTGTGTTAGATGCTGGTAAACTTGACCTTTCACCATGCCTCTTGTTAATCAGCTTCTAAAACTAAATCTGTATCATTAATATTCATGAGGCGCAAGTAAAATCGAGGGTTCGTATATAACTGGGGTATGTAAAAATGAGGTTCTACTGTATAATAAATATTTTAGTATGTTAATAAATAATGTCAAAATTGTTAGTATCCATGTTAGTACACTTTACATATCCCTAGCTGTCACATGTGGTTATTATCCATCAATGCCTCCCGCTGATTTTGGTAGCTGTGCGCAGAAAGAGAGGTCGTATAGAGTTCACCTATTCACAGTCCAGTACGCAATCTTTTTTTCCGTACGCAAGATTTGCATGAAACTTCACTCGGGACATCTCGGATTGACTCGACTCGAGTTCGATATGAGGAACAAAAGCAGACACTTCGCAATGTCGTGACGCTCGAGTTTTACTTTTATTGCTCTTTCTATGTTTACCTATGGTAGGCCTATGAAATCTTACGGATTTATGGGATGTACGTGTGTAACTGTGACCTTCTTGTATGTTATTAAATGTTAGTATAATATCTACAACAACAACAGCTAGTACCCCCCTTTATAAAGTGTAGATAGGTACACCAAAGGCTGACAGAAAGAAGATAAACTACAGGCCTAAAGCAGGCTGAGTTAAGTCCTACCTACCATAGGTTCTCCCTGAACTAGGCCCTAGGCTAGGGTCCTAGGCTTACACCAACAGTCACGCTTCACATGACTTTGATTGAAATTTTGAAAAAAAGGGGAAAAAATTGAAGCATGAAATAAAAAATAGAGTGCATAAGAGAAATATTATTAAATAAATAAAATATACCATTCCAGCGTTATTGAACTTGGCCAAACTATCCTTGTAATGTAATTAATGTTAAATATTAATAATAATAATAATAATAATCATCATCATTTCAGCATTATTACCTTGGCCTAAGCCTTGTAATCAAGAACCATTTACTAGGCCTAAATTAATAACTAGCCCAAGGGAATATCTTTTGTGCTATTTCCCCTTAACGTCGTTTTTTTTTAAATGTTTTTTTTAATGTTTTTTAATGTTGAACTTTATAACATAATAATTACACTAATAATAATAATGAATAATAATAATAATAATAATAATAATAATAATAATAATAATAATAATAATAATAATAATCATTTCGGCATTAACTAACTTGGTCTAGCCTTGTAATCAAGAACCTGCAGATACATGTACCATATAACTAGGCTTAGGCCTCATTTATACATTCATTGGTGCTCTGCCATTTTGGCAGGTCTTTGGCATCTAGTATAGAGCTGCCTATTCTCAGCTCTTCTATTTGAAAATAACTGTCACCCTGTTTCATTTGATAAACAAACGCGCTATTCCTTCCTCTTTGTGCTTTCCCCTGAAAGATGCAAAACCCAGATCTAACTAAAAAAATAATAAAATTGTCACAGTATGTAACTCAAGTTCAAATAACGCTTTCCATTACTCGTGCAGCTCAATCAAATATTATATGTCAGTTTAAACGACCCATTAGTATTAGCATGGTAACATCAATCAATGTATTTTTTAAAAATCAGACAGCGACGTTCTCTCAGAAGTTGTTTTGCATTTTGTAGACGTTTATCTGTTGATGACCTTTTGACCTCCTGAATTCTGCAATATGAGATTTTCGGCCCGAGTCGATTCAGTCGAGACGGCCCGAGCGGAGTTTCATGTAAATGTTTCGTACGGAAAAAAAAATCGCGTCCAGTACACACGACATACATGCTGCCTACTTGTAATGAAACTTGTCGCTCCCTAGAAAAATTCAGGAGCGCTATTGATTGCTTTTAAATCAAGGTCTGAATTTGGCCAAATCTACGTATGCAAAGAACGTAAATTTCATTCTCTACAAATTTCCTCCTTAATTAGGCGTGATCGCCAAATTATTCCAGCATCAAATCAGCGTTCTGATGCGTTTTCTATTGTTCTACCAAAACGTGTCTGAAAACACCGTTTGAATAGCACATCATTTGGACGCTGATATTCAGTTTTGATCTTGCTCCTCCCCTTTAACTATGGCCGATTGGATGCACCGTAAAACGCGTCCAGACAACTCTCAAACTAAATCACAATACGACTGACTGTGCAGCCCTATACCCAAGTACGGACTTGTTTACCTGCTAGCGTCTCTTTGTACGCTGCCTGTGTGTGCAAGAACTGACAGAAGTACGTAAACTCGGAAGTCCCTGGTCGATGCTAAAAAAAATAGTCGGTTGGGTATTGGGACGTCATTCAGTAGGCCTAGTACCATGCATAGGTGAGACTATCGTAATATTCAGTGATTTAATGAATCGATGAACAATAATAACTTTTAAAAATCAGATTTTTTAGTTATTTCTGATATAGTCGCAGCGCGGGAGTCGCAGGCCACCATTAGTTTTAAGACGCGTGATCACAATCCTGTGCAGCTGTGGTATCATCCCCAGCACAGCAATTAATTGCTCTCCTTGCCGTTGAAAGGGATCACATGCTAAGACCCATGCCTCCGAAAACTTTGTTCATGATCAAATAGATGAAATTTTGCATTATACTAAATTATATTTACATTTTATAAAACAAAGTTGAATTTACGTGAATGTCATGCAAAACACGTTTTTTTATGCCGAATTTCACCACAAATTTTGACTTGTGTATTCCATAAAAACATGCAAGGCTAAACCATTGCCTACCCAGTAAAGCTTTTACTGACAACTCGCGATATTACTGTAATTTATTCATTTATTTAACTGAACATACACTTTTGTTTCAGTGGCACACACAAATTTGGTGCGTTCAATGTATAAAAGAGAGAAAGAAAAACAACTAATTTAAATAAGTAATTGTTAAAAAACAAATGTTATACCCCGTTTGAAAATGGACAGTTCTAAATCGCCCAGTACTCTCAGATTCAGATTTAAGATTTCTTTATTAACTTTAACTGGCAGTAAATTACTGAATTGCGAGAAGTTTACAATATATACAGATAAAATTGTTATTAAAAAGTACAGAAGACAAAAAACACACAGCACCACAAAGTTTAAAAACACAGATAAAACACTACTTGTTTACACACATGGTTCTGGGCCCAGCTCTCTGCACCCAAGGCTTGCCCTCAAGATCGCTGCAGTTTTATTTGAAAGAGGACTGTAGTTCGATCAGTTAAATAATAAATCAAAACTAAAGCTCATGATTTATTGTTAATATGACAAGTTATTGTCTTTATCTAAATTTTACCAAATTGACCTAAAGTCAACCAAATATACATCTCTTGATTCGGAGGACCTACAGTAGAACTTACAGTAAAGAATTTGCACTGCTGCATAGTATACACAGTAAAGAGTAGCCTCAGAAAATTGTGAGTAACCAGCCGTGCGCGAGGATAAAAAAAATATAGGCAGATTACCTAGGTCTAGATTTGATTTTATATTCAGGCCAGAATGTAACGCCGACTTACCATGGCACTTAAAGTATATTCGAAGTATAGTATGTTTGCGATTTGTAATGACAATGTACCCTCCTTACTTTTGCAAAGAAAACCCCAGCACTATTTTTAGAGTCTTGACGTAGTTCTATCTACAGAGCAGCGAACAAAGCGAATTCCAATGGAACTTGCTTAGCGCAAACCGCGCCCTGGGCCTCCAGGCAAGTCATCATGTAATTTACAAATCTTCATCTAAGCATAGAGAATGTATACCACATGTACGTACAGTAAATGAAAGAATAGGAGCTGCATAATAACATTTTTTTGAAACGCCAATATTTCTACGCACTCAAGTGGGCCAGTTGACCGCGCTGTTAGTATAGTAGTAAACAATAGAAAATCGTTCAAACGATCAACAAGCCATAGATCAAGCGTGCAGCAAATGAATATTCATATAGCGTGGTAATTAGAATGGTTGATTTCTCAGACGCGTTCGTGATAGGGTGTTGACCTAGACACGTTTTTGCCGTCTGGGATAAGAATAGGAATGGTTTTGGGACATGAAAAAAGTTTGGTTTAGCGCGAAATTCGGTTTTCTGGGCATTTGGAATTTGGAGATTCCACTGTATACGGATTCCACCACTGAATCAGAGAGGGAAAACAAAAATAAGCTCTCAATAACACATATTCATCACTTACCATTTTCTTCTGAGCTTGAATTCTGTCCAATGAGTCAGTTTTGATTTGGCCAACCTCCTCCCCATCCCCTTGGGACGGGGCAAGGAACACCATATTTTCACTGTCGTACGTGAATGTGAAACCGCGTACCTTACTCAATGAATGTCCAAACTGACGAAGGCAGACCACACGAATCAACACCTAGGTACAAGAAAATTGTTGGATTAAATTATCCATACAAATACCAGTGGTTCCTAACTGCTTAATAGTGTCACCCTAACTTGACACTTCTTAAGCATGACCAACATACTGTACTTAAGAAAATAAAATATATTATACTTTAAAAATTCATAACAATATGGTAAATTATAATGAATACTTTGAGGCCTGCATTCACTGAAGAAAGCTTGATGCAATCAGTCTATGTTTACATTGTTTGAGTCTGAAATATTATTATTAACAGTATAACTGTACTAGTTTAACAATTTAACAATTTTGGCTATAATGGTCATTCATATTTTACGACGCACTTTTCCTAGCCAGCCTGAATCTGGCCATCTGAGACCTGTTGAATAATGGTACGTTCCTGCTTCTTAGCAGCTGGCAGAAAAATCTACAACCACGTGTTTTAGAATCTTGTGCACCTTCAAATTTACATTAAATCAAATAATAACATTCAGGAAATGTTAACAACATTTACTTAATGAGTACATGTAGAAGGTTAAAATGAAATACCTAAAGGAAATTGGCTAATTTAAGGGAATAGATACAATAACAATACAACACAGATTCCTTAAAATGGCGGAAGGCTATACCAAAGCTTCGCATTTTTGTGGGCATAATGCCTACAGTAAACAGGATTGTTCCTTCATATGGAAATTAATGTTTTGACGGTGAATTTTTTCATCCAATGGGAATATATTTTTTATGAGAAGAATCTATGCATGTTCAGCTTTCTTTTTACCAGGGGAACAACAAGATATTTGATTGGTGAACAGCCGAAATGGTAATTTAAAGCCAACGAAGTTGCTAAAAAGAGGTAAAAATTCAGCCCATTGCAATTAGGAGTAATCAGTTTTGGATTAAACTGACTACATCGGAACCGATTGTAACAGAGTATAGTCATAATATTAACTTATGTTATAACAAAGAGAACAATATATTATCGGTACAGTACCATCCAGAAATCATTAGCCCGCCGCACGCATTTTTTCCGCAGATGAAATTTGTGGGACACGCAGTTAATTAGCTAGTAATAGGACCACCCATACGCAGTCAACCGTTACGGCATTGAGTAATTCATGGTTTCAACGAACTGCCTAATGCTTTTTACGTTCAACAAATTGGTCTGTGTTGTTTATCAGCCAGACAAAGGACAGAGCCTGTCTTTATTTTGGAACAATGCAACTGGGAATAAACTTGATACTTTGATGGATATGCTGGTATATCCACAGGCATCTGAAGTATTTTGTTAACTGTAGGCCTACTAACAGTATTTTCCGGTTTATATGAAAATTACAGTAAATACTGTATTTGTGTACAGAAATATAAATTGTAGGCGTACAGTACATCATTGTAGAAATTGTAAGATCAAGTGGTAAAATCTTGGATCTCTTATTATCGATTAATTAACTGTTGTGAATATTACTTCAATAAAAAATGACGGTATGAGTGTGAAACTAAATCTAATGTTGTAACTTGTGTCCTCTGTTATTTTGTTATTATGCAATAAGAATAGTTGCTAATATTAGGCTACGATTATTCATGATGTTGTCTGTGTAACAACAGAATCAAATCATTAAACATGTTTCTTTTTTGGAAGCGAGACAAAGTGTAGACGAAATTTAATGAAGGAGGCTTCATAGTCCCAGCACAACGTTTTCAATGAAAATTCCTCTCGTTCAAACATGATACTGTAAACACAGTACGATAAAGCCACAGTACCACACTAAAACTATATTTGTCGTTATAGGCCTATTGATATTGTATTTTTTGTTTTCTTAGTTTTCTGAATCTGAAACATGTTGTCAATGACCGTGCGGCTGAGTAGGGGAAAAAATTAACGTTTTTTGTTTTTGTTTTTGTTTTTTTTTTGTTTTTTTTTAGGACTGGTGAACGTTTTTTTTTTTTTTTTTAAGAACTGGTGAAAAGTGTAATAAGAAATCTATGCGAAATGTTAGACAATTTGTACCCCAGTAATGTGAAATTACAATTTTAAAGCCCAGTAGAATTAACATTATCAGATAAAATAAAATCATTAACAGATAAAATACACGACAAGATTCTTTCCTAATGAACTCGTGTACTGTACATTGCCTGTGCCCGCTGTAATCATCTTGAAGCGAGTCAAAGTTTAGACGACGTTTAATTAATGATCGTCAAAGTCGGCCTTGGTAATGAGGCTGGTTTGCGCCGGCTATTCGTAGTCCCAGCACAACGTTTTTCAATGAAAATTACTCTCGTTGAAACACAGTATGATAATTTAAATACACAGTACGATAAAGCCACAGTATCACCGTACAACTTTATTTGTCGTCATAGGCCGATTGATATTGTATTTTTGGTGTTCTGGGTTTCTGAATCTGAAACATGTTCGTAATGCCACGTCATTCTCTCGATGCCAATGTGTAGTCAATGACCGTGCGCCTAAGTAGGAAAAAAACCAAACATGTTTTGTTTTTTTTGGTTTTTTTTTTAGAACTGGTGAAAAGTGTAGCAACAAATCTAGGCGAAATGTTAGGAAATTTCTACCCCAGTAATGTGAAATTACAATTTTAAAGCCCAGAGAATAAAAATTAACAGATAAAATAAAATCAACAGATAAAATAAAATCATTAACGGATAAAATGCACTACAAGATTCCTTCTTAATAAACACTTGTGCATTGCCTGAGCCAAAGTTTGGATGATTTGTTGTAAAGTGGTTTCGTGGAAAGTCGGCCTTGGTAAGGAGGTTGGATTGCACCGACAATTCGTAGTCCCAATGAGAATTACACGAAGTTTTTCAATGAAAATTCCTCTCGTTTATATATACTGTTTATACACAGAACGATAACGTCACAGTACCACTGTATATTAAAACTTTATTTCTAGTTACTCTATATTGAAATTGTGTTTTGTATTTTGTGTTTTGCAGTCATTTTATATATAAAAAAGTTTTATAACAACAGTAGGCCTATACCTGTCTCTTATACACATCTAGATGTGTATAAGAGACAGACATTTACTTAATGAGTACATTAAAATAAAATCAACAGATAAAATAAAATCATTAACGGATAAAATGCACTACAAGATTCCTTCTTAATAAACACTTGTGCATTACCTGAGCCAAAGTTTGGATGATTTGTTGTAAAGTGGTTTTGTGGAAAGTCGGCCTTGGTAAGGAGGTTGGATTGCACCGACAATTCGTAGTCCCAATGAGAATTACACTAAGTTTTTCAATGAAAATTCCTCTCGTTTATATATACTGTTTATACACAGAACGATAACGTCACAGTACCACTGTATATTAAAACTTTATTTCTAGTTACTCTATATTGAAATTGTGTTTTGTATTTTGTGTTTTGCAGTCATTTTATATATAAAAAAGTTTTATAACAACAGTAGGCCTATACCAAGAAAATAATTTTATATTTATTTTATATAATGAACAAAAAAAATGAATATGAAAATGGCCCATTTCCCCATTCTCTCTACACGAGTGCACTGTAGACAAAGACCGTGCGACGGTCCCTTTTGATTGACCGAAACCGACGCGCTCGTACCGCCTGTCGGAACACAATGAAGTTAGATGCGCGTCTTGTTTGGGTGTTATTTTAACACCTATTTTAAAGAGAAAAATCCTTTTGTTTAAAAAAAAAAATGGTTTTATGAAATATTGACCAATCAGTGATTACGACTACATATCAATGTGCATAAATACGAGCAGCATAAGCTTGTACTGCACCATTCTGTTCAGTTTTCTGTATCAGTAATATCGATAATGTTATCTCGTAAACGATCAACTATTCCAAGGGAGGCCCTTGTTTACTTTCCGGATGAGGAATGTTTGAGTGTTGTCAAGACAACTCTAATAGTCGGTGATGTATATGAAGACGCAGAGGTGGATGTCTTATGGGAAGGAGAGTCAGTGCCTGCAGTTACCCGAAAACTGTCAAGTAAGTTCATTGCTTTATTTTCATGATACTATTGACTCCACTATTAAACACATTAAAAATCTGAAATTTGTGCTTGTGTTAAATTTTGTATTCTAATCTATGTTTTGTATTTTATTGTGTTAATGTAGATTCTAATATATAAATCATACTTTATTTTAATAGACAACCCACACGAGCTACGTCAGTTAGAGCGGGATTTGTTGGCGAGAGACAGGAAGAGGGTGGCTGAAGAGGACGACACTACCAGTGATGACGAATCCACCGAGAACGACGACAACGACGACGAGGAGGACGAAGTAACCCAACCTAAGAAGCCTCGGCGTATGACGTCAACACCAAAGACAAAGAAGGCCAAGACCAAAGAGGTACTTTATTTATTAATTTTTTATCAATGATTAGGGCCTACATATTTTAATTTATTATTATTATTATTATTATTAATGATAATATTTTTAACATATTCAACACTTTATATTATAATCCATCATTAAAACAACTACACGACATATGGTTAGTAATATCGTTGTTTATTTGTGAACTATAAATCTATGACGTCAACACCAAAGACAAAGAAGGCCAAGACCAAAGAGGTACTTTATTTATTAATTTTTTATCAATGATTAGGGCCTACAGTATTTTAATTTATTATTATTATTATTATTATTAATGATAATATTTTTAACATATTCAACACTTTATATTATAATCCATCATTAAAACAACTACACGACATATGGTAGTAATATCGTTGTTTATTTGTGAACTATAAATCTATGACGTCAACACCAAAGACAAAGAAGGCCAAGACCAAAGAGGTACTTTATTTATTAATTTTTTATGAATGATTAGGGCCTACATATTTTAATTTATTATTATTATTATTATTATTATTAATATTATTAATGATAATATTTTAAACATATTCAACACTTTATATTATAATCCATCATCAAAACAACTACACGACATATGGTTAGTAATATCGTTGTTTATTTGTGAACTATAAATCTATGACGTCAACACCAAAGACAAAGAAGGCCAAGACCAAAGAGGTACTTTATTTATTAATTTTTTATGAATGATTAGGGCCTACATATTTTAATTTATTATTATTATTATTATTATTATTAATATTATTAATAATATTTTAAACATATTCAACACTTTATATTATAATCCATCATTAAAACAACTACACGACATATGGTTAGTAATATCGTTGTTTATTTGTGAACTATAAATCTATAGGCTCCCAGGGTGTTGCTGTAGCAGGAAATGGGGGATTCTGTGATGTTCCTTGTGTTTTATCATAAATACTTTCAAATCTCTTTTATTCATATGGTGGCTCTGAAAAGAGCCGTTTGTTTTGATAATGTGAAGTTGTAGTTTGATGGGTCCTCAGTATCCAGAAGCTCTTCCATTTCTTTCTATGACGACGGGTATGACTTTATGGATGTGTCGTATGTACTTGGAGCACAAGTCGGGGAGTAAGGTTGTCTTCCACCAAGTCGCGATACCATCTATTAATTCCTTCACGTGTCGGCGAAGGTGCGTTTTCAACTGGTGCCACACATTTTCAATGGGGTTCAAATCAGGGGACTCGGGCGGCATTTTCCACCAGTTGATAGAATTTTCCTCCACGTATTGCCTAGCTAGACGACTTGTATGTTTTGGGTCGTTATCCTGTTGGAATCGATGCGAATCAGGAAATACATTGTGAATGAATGGTAGTAGGGTTCCTTCTAATATTTCACGAACATAGAAATCGGCGTTCATGTTTCCACCGAAAATCAACACTTCTGTTAATTGGGTGTTTTGCCCTGGCTTTGAGTTTCGGCTCCTCTCCGACTTTGTAGAAGCAGAGCTTCCCATGTTGTTCGAGGTGAATCGATGTCTCGTCTGTCCAGATCACGTCGTCGAACTTGTCCTGTTCATTCAACAACTGAGTGCAGAACTCCATCCGCTTCACTTTATTTACATCACGAATCATTTGGCAGTATTTTAGGCCACTGCGTTTCCACCCTAACTTCTTTCTTGCCCTTCTAACGGATGAAGGAGATACTCTCAAGTCAAATACTGTCTGTAGTATCCCACATATCTGATGTGCTGGCCACTCGTCGTCGTCTCTGTATAAATCGTCAATAAAATGAGCATGCGGGATAGTTAGGTTTTCGCCCCGACCGAATCCTTGCTGCCCACAAGCCTGTTTCCCTGTAGATTCGAATGATGCTTCCAACGGTATGTCTGTCGACTTTAACTTGCTCTTCATCTTGATCAACAATTGCCACTTGGCGCAATCCGCGCTCATGCAAACGGATAATTCTCTCTCTTCAATATACAGTAGCGATAACTGACCTTTCATTGCGAAGAATAATAATGTAAGTGAACTGCCCATGTAAAACATGCGTATTTAACCTAATCCAGTGTAGACCAATTGACCAATGAAAACCGACGCCTGTCATCTCTACAGTTAATTTTATCATATGCACAAATGAATAATTGTAGCCTACTAAATTACCATAAAGTAATTTTGTTTTACTGTACTGTATGCGATTTATCAGAGATTAAAAAAAAAAAAGGTTTTAAAAAATGTTCTAGTCATAGCCTTTATTTCAAATATAGGCCTACAAAATAAAATATAGTATCATATGTTTAAAAGTTGTATAAGAATAACGCTATATAAATTACAACATACTGTGCTTTTCCTCCATGGTCATACGAGTATTATTAAGCCTATTAATAATACTATCATAGCCATTATTCTAAATTTACCCAATATTTCAAGTTCATTACTGAAACGATCTTTTTAGCGGCAGGTTCCCAGCAACCAACCTTAGAATATAAAAAAAAAAATCTGTTAACCCGACTTTTTTATATTACACTACAATACTGTATAATAATAAAATAAAAAATAAAAATAACTATAAATAAAATTAAGACCGTATTTCGATACGATTTTTTAAGCACAAATGTACAGTACTACAGTAAGTACCCGCCATTCAAGTAATCCTTGTTTATATGTAAGGTAGGCCTATGATTTATCTGTAATAAAAGTGAAAACGCGGTTTTAAAATATTCTGCTCATAGCCTTTATTTCAAATTTACAAAATTAAATACAGTATGTTTTTACAAGTTGAAAAATTTCATTTCATTTTTCAGTTGATCTAAAGCGACCTTGCTGATAGCAGACGTTCCCAGTTCAGTTGTAGCCGCAACCAAACTTAAATAAAGAAAATATATCGGTTATTCTTGCCTTTACTTGCTCAGATATTATATTAATATATATATATATACATATATATAAATATATACATATATTTGTTTTTCGATCCTACAGAGTAGGAATTGTAAAGAGTAACATTGTAAATAAATTGAAACATACTGTACTTTGATACGAGCGGTTTTACGAGCCTAATTATACTTTTTTGCGATTATCAATAATATATTTTCGAAGGAAGACAATTCCATAAATAAAGAATGTATAAAAAGCTGAATTTTAGTTTGTTTATAAGGTGGAGGTTGATATTTTAAATTCTGAAAAAAAAAAGAAGAATATGTATAGACCTATGTACAGTATTCTTTAAATTTTATTACTTGCACTACTACCGACTATTGGCGAAATAACTTTACATCAAACCAACTCGCTCATTGTTCACCTAACAATAGGGAGATCGGGCGTACCGCAAAATTATGTAATACTTTACCTTCAACTTTTCTGACTCACTGACTAACGTGGACCCCGCTTATACTGCGAATTCCGTCTTTTACCAGGAAGTAGATGCTAAACAATTACGTAATGGACCACTCACTGAATACGGGCGCTCGAATTTTCCACGATTATTTTCCGCGGAAATAATGCAGGCAAGGGTAGATAATATCTGGATGGTACTGTAATTATAACATTGGGGCACTATATCTATATTTTTATGACCTTGTCTTATGCATACAGTAGACTCGAGAAAAGTTGACAGCTAGTATAGTGGTATGTGGTATGCCTCTAGAGATGTGCGCTACTCAGTGATTTGAGCTAAAATCATCCGAACACTCATAAAAGTTTGGAATCAAATTTTCATTACAGATTATGTGATCAGCGGTTTAAGTCACCTCCGCTATGAAAAATCACTCTCTTAAAATGAAAACTACAGTACATGTAAAATTTAAATATTTGCTTTATACCATAAGATTCTTGTTCCTACCTCCTCATGATTTGACAGGCAGAGTTGGTGGCAAAGATCAAACTTCATCCATTTTTGGACATCTCGAAGTGGAGGAATCTTCCATACCATGATGTCTTCAGTGATTGGCAGTTCCTGATGCCATTGCACGTTCTGATTAGCTTCATTGATGATGGCTTCTACTGGTTGTCTGCAGGTGTCTAATTAAAGATGAAAAAGTATACTGTAACTAAATTAAATGTAAAGTAGGAACTCATTTTTTAACATTTGTGTTCATTTGTGTTTCTTTGTGGCATTTGGTATTGGAGAGCTGCCAAAAAGGTGGGCAATGCCCTTTTAAATAATCTACCCCTTGAGATTTTTATGTTTATTATGTAAATATCTATGTTCAAAATAAATAATTTTATACCAATATATATGATGTACAGTACCAGACAATGTATCCTTGGCAATGAACATGGGACAGTGTACATTGGACATTGTGCCTATGACAGCGCAGGTCTGATAGTGTTTTTCAAGGGACAGCATACATTGGAGAGCTTTAGTACTTTGTGCCTAGAACGACATATGTGGGAAGGTGAATCTAAAACAGTGTATCCAGGGAAGCATTCTAGGACAGTGTCCCTAGGACAGGGTACCTAAGGCAGCGTAGATTTAGTGCATACCTGGAACCTGGAAGTTTCAAATCCTGATGTATTACACACTAAGCTACAGTCTGTCAACATATCAAACATTTCTGGTCAACGTTGATCACGTTGCTGAATGTCACTCAGACATACTAGAGCCAAGTTCAATAATAAGTTGATACTTGAATAAATGAATAATTCATTAGGATGATGGGAAATGTGCATATCATATACAAATTTAAAATCAACGATTTCCTGACGCTGAATGATAAGGGAAAATGGGACGATTCCTGTGGGGTACACATACGGCAATAGACCTGCAAGTCTGGCTCGTATTAGGATGTACTGTGTGTCCAGGATGTTTGTTTTTCTCTGATTTTATTACTATGTGAATATCACATCCAGAAAACTGGCTAAATAATCTGGAATGATGATTTTAATTTTATTTCATTTTATTTACTTGTCTCATTAAATTAAAATTCACAAAAACATTGACAATAAGGAAACAATTTCAGTCAAGCATTCAACATGGGCATTCGAATAATGAACTAAATCTATGCCGAGTCATGCTATAAATGCAGATATAAAATTTAAATACGCTAAATAAAAATTCCTAAATTAAAATAACAATTCTGAAATAACACATAAAATATTAAAATATTGAAATGAAATGATTTCAAAGCTATGCAATATTATTGCTAAGCTGGTTAGAAAAAAAAATAAGTTCTTTCAAATATAAATATATATATATATATATATTTTTGTATCTCTACTGAGATCCAGCCATTGTTTCCCACAGCATTGTTGCTGTCTCTTATACACATCTAGATGTGTATAAGAGACAGGGGTAGGACATAGAATCGTCCTGGTGCCGGATCGACCTGGATGAGATGGGGTCCAATTTTGGGATCGATGGAACCTTTTTTAACCATCTTTAATACAGATTTTTCCACTTCCTTAGAAATTTCCGGAGTGGGGTCCACATATATATATATATATAAATGACTTATTAAACAATGACTTATTAAACAAAATGAAAGAAAAAAACTAAACATCTATAAAATGTATAGTACTGGAGCTTTCGCCAAACCTTATTCTTACCTTTTATTACTATTTTACTTAATTAAATATTAAGACATTGTAATAATCATTCATTCTTGGTCTGGTGATCTTGTAATTTTTTTGAATTTACTATCTTTGTCGAAGTAGTAGGCTTATAAAACACATACTGTATCAGTATTTTAAATTAAACTAGTCTAAAATATTTGCAAATTTCTGAGAATTCTATTTTTAACAATACATTTTCAAAGTACTGTACTGATTTTTAAATTTTTTTTTCAAAAAATTCACCACACTTTTGCTTTTACAACTATTTTAAATTTTTCATTTACAAGATCATTATCATTTCCAATTTTCAATATCAAAATATTAAGATGTCAATCGAACGGAAAGCAGATGTCAACATTATTGACAGAGCGTCATTGGAAAAACTTATTAGATCAAATGTTTCTGTTAACTCTATCTAAAACTGAACTACTCTATAAAATACAAATTTGAGATATCATTGAAATTCCCATTTAAACCATCAGTGAGATCTCATAATATATAAAAATTAATAAAACAAAACTAATTATCATTTATATTATACTGTTTACATAAAATTGCTCATCCAAGGCGATCAAGAAAGTAAATAACTTCAACAAATGAAAAATAGGTTCCCAGCGAAGCGCGTGTCTACTGCCTATTACTGTACATTACTGTGTATCTCAGAAAGTACTACCATGTTCTAGAGGGCGTCCCTTAAAAATACCATAAAAAGCTTTCGTATCGAACGCATGCTGCATCTCTATGACGCATGTTCGAGTTTTACACGCAAGTTTGTTGAGTTTCGAACTCCATTAATTTTTTCATTAGGGCGCCCTCTACCTTGTGACGGTTTACTCGTTCTGACAGGGTTAACTGCCAGACGATAACATAGTTTCTATACCCCTTAGGGGCAATTGACAGAAAAACAAAGTTTTTGTTGATACACATTATTTTCTGACAAAAATTTTAAAGATGTCTTGTCTCCTGAAAATGACAAAAAAAATCACAAAAAATAATTTTGAAACTAACTTTCATTTTGCAGTAACATACAAATTATTAACTTGAGCATAGAAATTATTGAATTTTAAAAATATTTACATACTGGATAATGATAAGAACATTTCCAGTAACTGGAAGTTCTTCTATCATTTTTCGCTGTAAATTTCAAAAATAAGATTTGGTACTTGTTTGGTATTTTTCATCGGACAGTACATCTTTAAAAAAATAATTTTACTATGTAGACATGGGCATATTTCAGACATCATTAAGAAAGTGCTGATGTGGAGTGTTTGACACAATCTTAACAGACAGTAACATGCAGTCCTGGGAGACCCATTGTAATATTGTCTAACCTCCGCCCAATTACTTTGACGGACAGCACCAAGCTAAATGATTGACAGCACCTACGTTTAAAAAAAAAGCGACCTGGGACAGGATATATCGGAGGATGTTTTCAGACATGTTATTTGCCTACAAATTCTTATCCGAATTTGACACGGTATTAATGTAATATTTGAAATGGTTTTTAAACAGACTTGTATGCTAACTTTTTTCCAACCTAAGAAATTAGTCTTCATAAAAAAAAAACATGTTAAATTTCTTTTTTAAAGGTTAGGTAGTGTCAATAGACAAAATATTGTCTGTACATACCTTCCCTACATTATATTTTTTATCAGGGTATTTGTCAAATTTAATACAGTACTTCCTTTCGTCAATAACCTTTCATTTTAGCAACAAAATAGAAACAGAACAACAAACTAACAAAATAATAACAAAAAACAACAAACATTAGAAAACAAAATTAAAAATTAAATCTATCCCTTCCTCTGTCCTCATCCTACAAAAACTAAAATATTTATATAATTTACTTTTAATTAATATCATTCACTGATAGGCCTCAGAAACCCAATATAAACACCTGTGAAGACAGACATTTGAGTTTTTCAGGCTGGTTTTTTTTAATATATTGGTTCCTATATAGTATTCTTTGTATGATCTTTGAATTGGCCAATTAGAAGCATAACAAATTTGTTTGGAGTCCCCTGGCTGGGCCTCCTTCAGGATCCTGCCTACATTAGGGTACGGAAGTAAAGACCTTGTTCGCTCCAGCATCTAAACCATTTAGACAACATAAATCTTGTTTTCTTTATATTTGAATAATTATGTTAGTACAAGCACAATAGGTGTGACTATCTAATAGGTTCCGCAATGTTATGATATATTGCACCTTTTATACATATCTGGCATTTGTGTGTCGATCAGAATGCTAGGAGTTACTCGCTGTGTGTCAAAAGGTACTGCAAATTATAGTACGGTAGTTTTTATGCAACAGCCTCAGCGGCCTCAGCTAACTTATACAGCATAATGGCTAAGATTTGTCTGATTTACGATCTGAATGTGTTGCTGGGAAAGCTAAATAAATATAGTGATAGATGATCGTTCAGAAAGTACTCGGGATGACTTACAGGCATGTATTAGAAAATGTGGCATAAAAAACAACTACACTACTAGGATATAATTATACCATGTGACTCAATTCAGGTAGATTTCTATAGGGATTATATGCTAGCACATGACACATGAGGTTAAACTTGAAAGCATATGTTTCCTTTGATGGGTGATACTGAAAAGAAAGTGGCTGATAGACCTTTGTTAAAGTTGATCATTCTGGGAGCATACTCGCCACCAAGTCTTTGCGAGAGCAAGGCATTACTGGCTATCAAAAACACTGACATTTGGAAATAATCAACCACATGACCAGAGAGGGTAGTGGAGCAGTAGACTGGTGGTTAAGATGCTTGTCTTCCATTCTAAGTTTGAATGCCAAGATTTCTTTCCCCCACCAACTACTGCACTCTGTAAGTTAGTAATATGACTTAAGACTAGGAGGAACCTGAATATCAGCTGATCTTCTGAGCTTAGCTGGGAGGGTCATATAGTACTCTCCACATGTGCTTTTTGAAAAAAAGAGATGAGAGATAACATCATAACCATAAACACTATCAGCAGTTCTAGTCAACATAAAAATCTGAGTTTAAGCTTTGTGGTAAGACATCCAGTGACAGCGCTATGGGGAGGGGGATGGGGCTACGAGGGGCCACAAGGGGCTACAGCTTTCCCGCCGGGGAAGTTAGGAGAAATTTTTTGGGGTATAAAAAAATTATAAAACATTTATATCAAAATGTTGGCCTGAATTGGATAGGACTAAATAAATTAACAGTTTGGATGCCGATGAGATGCAAAAAACATCATCCTTAGGTCAAGATGCCCTAAATGAGCATCTGTGGCTTATTACTTTTTAAAATTTTCTCATTGGGAATGTCCTAAACCCTCCCCCCAGCTGAGGCCACGACCCTCAAACAGTACAACTCTTGCCGTGCCTGTCTAGGGAGTTGCCCTGCCGTTGGGGAAATCTTAGCACTGCCACTGCTAAGTAGTTAACCATATTTTAGGCACTGGGTTGGAATCCTGTAAAACCAATATGATTT